ATCCATCCAAAGAGCCGATGCCGAGGTTGGTTGTGCTTGGAAAGGCACGGAAAGTGCCTGCCCCCTGGGTAGTCTCTCTGACCGCTCCTGCCCACCACAATGCTTCTTAAAGAATGAGCCCTTTAAGGGCGCCTCCGAAGAGCCCGAGAGGAAAGCAGTGTATGAAAGTTCTCAAGTGCTGGAAAGAGACTTTCGTCCTCTCACTCTGTAACAGCCGTGATAATACCTCAAGCAGTGCATCAGACACCTGGCCCATCCAGCTGGAACGACCCGAGAAGCAGCAGTTTTACAGCAGGAGGTGCTGATTCCTTGTGATCTCCGGAGGAGAGACACACCGACTTTCTCAAATGTCTTTCACAACTCTTTGTTACAGCTGTCACTATCGGAGGAGATTAGCATCCAGAATCCTATATCCCCTTAGATATGGAGAACCCTGAGCAGAGTAGCTTCACACAGGACTCCAGACACGCACTGCTTGCCAGATAGACCACACTCAGGGAAAAGAGTACCCCCTTACAGCTTTTCAAGCCAGTTTAGTTTCCTGCCAGATGGCAGTTTGTATTCATTTCCACTGTCCCAGGTAAAGAAGTTCCTATGGCGACTGATTGCTCGCTGGTGGCTTTCTCATCAGTAGCGAGTGCTGCCTGAAGGTTCCTCTCTTACAATGACTTGTTTCTTCTTCCACCAAAGATTTGTGCAACAGAACACAGCAGATGACAGCCAAGGCCCGTGCCTGAAAGGAGATTTTAATGAGGGTGCGGTCAGTCTCTTGCAAGCAAATGACAGAACGTGACAGCCTCAATTTGTGCCAGAAAGGTCTAGATTGGACGTTAGGAGACAACTAAAAGGGTTGTCAAATGTTGGCACAGGCTTCCTAAGAAAGTGGTGGAGTCACAGTCCCTGAACATATCACTTTCGGACATGGTTTTGTGATCCACTTGGCAGTGTTAAGTAACCGTTGGACTCAATGGTCTCAAGGATCTATTCCATCAGATTCTTTTTGTGCTCAGGTTGACTGGATAGCAGAGTCTTTGCTCAGCGCATCTTTATACCAGGGCCTTGTAGAAGGCATAGCTGTAGTCCTCTGCATTTCTTAGAATGAAGAAATCTCTGAATGGTTTGGCTTCAAAGGGACCTTAAAGCTCATCTTGTTCCAACCCTCTGCCATGGCCAGGAACACATTCTGCTTGTGGTTGCTCAAAGCCACATCCAACCAGGCAATGGGTGTGACATCAAACCACTTGCTCCAGTCCATCACCAGCCTCACAGGGAAGAACTTCTTCCTAAAATCTAATTACCCTTTTTCAGTTTTAAGCCATTACCAGTTGTCCTATCACTAGATGCTCTTGTATTCCTCCTTTTGGAAATCAGCCTAAAGCCACCTTGAACCCTCACTTCTCCAGGCTGAACAACCCCAGCTCTCTCACGGTTTTCTCATAGAAAGTGCTCCACTCATCTGATCATCGTGACACTCTTGTTGACTCACTCCAGCAGAACTATGTCATTCATATGTAGTCAGCCTAAGATCTGGAAGCATGCCTTGCTAGGTCACACTTAGCTTTGCGTCAAGCAACACAACTTGTCACTTGGACATCAAGCCATTAACCACAAATCTTTGAGTGCAATCATTCTTCCAATTCCATATCCATTCTAAGTAAATCCATCATATAGATATTTCTCCAGTTTGAGAAGGATGTAATGTGGGACAGAGTCAAGTCTGCCCAAGTCCAAGTAGATGACAGCATTCAGTCTTCCCTTATGGACCAATGCCATAACCCCATTGTAGAAAGCCATCAAATTGTTCAGGGATGTTAGTGAGGCCATGTTGGCAGGCACCAATCACATCCATGAGCCTTTGCATGCATTCCAGGGAGATCTGGTCCATGATCTTGCTGAACAGACTGATCAGCCTGTAGTTACCTGGTTCTCTTTGTAAATATGGGGGTATGTTTCCCATTCTGTCATTGGGATCTGATTCTGGCGGACATGACTTCTGAAACATGATAATATCTTGGCCACTTGCATCTCTTCAGGTCCTGTGTATTCCTGCATCCTGTTCTTTATATTGCCTCAAACATTATCGTTTCTACAGTGTTATTCTCCCAGTCCATGACTTGCCCTCTGTGGCTTGGGTGATGAGGCTAGAGCACTTGTCAGTAAAGACTGAGACATTTGCGGAAAGCCTCTCCCTGACTGCTGTTTTTTCTCACCAAGTGTTCACCTCGGTGCTGCCCAAAACACTTCCAAAAGAACAGGGATGCCATCTTTGTGACATCCATCTTCTGAAACTCCTACAACTTCAGTGTCACAAACACTTTGTTCTGAAAAGGCTTACACTTGCCATCTGCAGCTGGAGCTGTCAGGGCAAGTCATTCTTGCTACCTTCCTGCTTTGCAGACACCAAGGCACACCCAGAGTCTCTAGGAAGGCAGAGGACAGGTCACCTCAATCTGCATAAAACTGCAACAGTACCAAGGAGACCCGTAGAGGTCTGCCAGCAATTCCCTGGTTGCTACAACTTTCCTCTACAACTTTCCTGAAGGTTCTGCCAGCAACATCTCCCAGCTCAAGAACTGTACCAACTCAACCTTACCTCAGACAAGGGACGTGTGAAATACTCCTGGGTCTTTGGAATCTAGAAGAAAGCTTTTCCAGAAAGAACAGCTCTACAATGACTGATCACTCCACACAAAGCACTTGGATGTTATTTTGCTTTTACACATAAGAGTCTCTCACATTACAAAAGCACAGTTTATAACTGCAGTACAACACACCGTGAGGGCTTCCAAATATTCCATGCCATGCTGCCTTCATTCAAACAGTCCGCTACTATACACAGATGAGAGAATTCTTAAAAGGAAGATACAATACTCAAAGAGAAGAAAAGGCAATGAGAATGCAATTGTCTAATAAAAAGCGCAGAAAATCATAATAGTACATCTTTCCACCCCCGCCTGCATTCAGAAACAACAATAACAAGGCCAAATCCAAAGTCCCTTTTCTGATTTCATCTCAATTCCACCTTCAGAAAAAGTCCCTTAAATCAGCTTGTGGAGTTTCCCTACAATCTAACCCAGGGCAAGGAACATGTTCTCACAACTGATTATAGTCTATAAACAGGCAATTCCATGTGCCAAAAGTCAAGCTTTTGGGTTGGAAGACCAGCTCAGCTGAACAGGAAACTGTGAAGCTCCAGAGGAAAAATAAATGGTATGGCATCTGGAAGCAAGGTCTGGCATTGCAGGTAGCTTACAGAGCTGTCATTCATATACACATGGAGAAGACAGGAGAGGCCAAAACTGCATCACAGTTGAAACTGGCCATTGTTTTAGGTGAGAATGGCATTTTTTAGTACATTTACAACAAGTGAAGGTCAAAAGAAAACATTAGGCTGGTACTTGTGGAAGGTGATCCCTCCCTGAGTTAACAGGGACTAAGAAGAAGCCATTCAGTGCTTGTCTCAAGTTTAAATTTAATCATTAGCCCCCAGGGCTGCCCAGACCCCTGAGATTTTTGACTAGCAGCTAGCCAATGTCATTCCCGTCTTCAAGAGGGGCATGAGGCAACTACACAGGCAACTACAGACCCGTTGGTCTCACCAACAGGTGAGAAAACAGCTCCTGGAAAACATACGGAGAAGATTATACCGGGTACTAAGGTCACCTGCCTCATTGATGAAGAGAAGGGGGTGGATGTAGTTTTTATGGATTTTAGTCAAAGTTGGGCAAGCAGAGGCTGGAGGGCAGCCCTGCAGAAAGGCAGCTGGTAGAGGTACTGATGGGCTGCAGTCTCAGTAGGAGCCAGCAGTGTGCTCTGGCAGCCAAAATGACAAACTTAATCCTGTTGGCATCAAAACCAGCACAATGTCACTCACAAGACTTGATTATCCCCCTGCATTCAGCATTGGTGTGGCCTCACCTTGAGTACTGGGTGCTCTGCTGGGTGCCACAATTTAAACAGCATGTCAGCGTCCTAAAGAAGGGTGGTAGAGAGGGAGGCAATGAACTCTTCTCCCTTATATTCAGTAATAGTGGGTAAGGTTTAAAGCCACACCAGTGGAGGAATATACTTGATATTAGAAGCATTTCTTTCCTGAAAGAGTGGCCAAACACTGGAACAGGCTTCCTAGAGAAGTGATTGATGACCGAAGCCTGTCAGTGTTTAACAGGCATTGTACAATGTCCTTAGAAATATGCTTTAACTTCTGTAAGCTCTGGTGAGGCAGCTGGACCAGGTGACCACTGTAGGTGCCTTCAAAATGAAATATTTGTAGTTGAGTCTAGTCCATTACAATTTATCAAAATACCATTTGTGCTGCTGTATGCTCCAATCCCAAGGAGACAACCTATCCCATCACTCCTTATGGGCAAATGAAAGATCTCGTTATCCCTTGACAATGAGAATGCTGTACTCAAAAGGTCAAAACAACTTTCTCCTTCGCTGGAATGGTGTGCAAAGGCTGGATATGCGCAACTGCCTGATTTGATTTCTAGCCCTTGAGCAGTGCAGCCAGGCACTCAACTGAGATACTGACAAAGTGACCAGCAGAAAAAATACACAGAGCCCACCCAGCTCAGACAGAGACAAGCAGAACCCAGATGAGAAGGGGCCCCATACACCACATTGTTACATGGTACAACATACTTGCTTTCATGACTCGTGCATTTCAGTGAGGTTGTAGTCTGCCCGACTGTGTCATTGCATTACAGCACAAAGAAATTAGTCCATAGTCTTGCCTGCCAGCAACCGAGACAAAAAATTAACTAAGCTCCTGGAACAAATCTCAATCTCAAAACATTAAAGCAATAGCTGTAACAGAGCTAGAACATTCTATTGCCTGAGTGAGGGAGCTTTAGTTTGTTAGGTTTTGTTGTAGAAGAAGTAACTATTTTTTCTCACATGTTCTTTTGAGAGAAATCAATAATTGCAAATGCAGATTAACTCTGGAGGCACCATTGCCACATGTCTGAGCTGGAATCCTTTCCTGTCAGACACTAAACCTCTGTCTCTACCAACACCATGCTAGTTAAAGGAAAGACTATTGAATTGCTCCGCAGAGAGTGGAGGGTTGTCTGGTGCCACGTCCTCTGCAGTGAGATTGCCACAGGGGAAATCTAGTTCACTGTTGGTACCCCCACCTGTGGCATGAAGCTGTGGTGGCAGGCTGGGGAGGATGGGCTTCAGGAACTTGAACTCGCTGTTGCCAGAGCCCGTTGTGAGGCTGATCTCATAGCAATAGGCATGGGGCAGGGTCCCTGCAGCAGCTGCATCAGCCAGGCTGCTCTGTAAGTTGCTGGCACCATAAAGCACATGCCCATCCTTCAGTTCCTTTCTCTTGCACACCTTGTGAACGACGAAGGCTGCTGTGGACACGAGGAAGAGAAGTGAGATGAAGACCAAGGAAATGATTAAATACATCGTCAGAGAGCTGCCCTCATCCTCTGTGGCCAGGCTGCTGTGTGGTAGGCGCATGTCCGAGAAGTCACTGAGCAGAAGTACGCTCAGTGCCGCAGTGGCTGACAGTGGTGGCTGACCGTTGTCTCGCACCAGTATGACGAGCTTCTGCTTCACAGCATCTCTCTCTGTCACTGATCTCCTCAGTCGCACCTCTCCATTCTGGGCACCCACCGCAAACAGTCCAGGATCAGTAGCCCTCAGCAGGTGGTAGGAGAGCCACGAGTTCTGCCCTGAGTCAGCATCAACAGCCACCACTTTGGTGATGAGGTAGCCTGCCTCAGCTGAAATGGGCACCAGCTCACTGCATGCAGGGCTGCTCTCCTGTGAGGGGTACAGCACCAGTGGAGCATTGTCATTTTCATCCACCACAGAAATGTAGACAGTGACACTGGCACTGAGGGGAGGTGACCCTGCATCAGAGGCACTCACCAAAACCTCGATCTGCCTCACCTGCTCATAGTCCAGGGGCCGCAGCACAAACACATCCCCATTCTCAGAGTTCACAGAGATGCAGGAGCAAGGAGGGTGCTCTGTAAGGTGAGGTGGGACAAGGGAATAGGTCACCTTGGCATTAGGCCCCATGTCGGCATCTGTGGCAATGACGGCTCCAACGAGCACTGTGGGAACATTATTCTCACGTACATACATGGTGTATGATGTCTGGTTGAACACAGGTGCATTGTCATTCATATCAGAGATGTCCACTGTGAAGGTGTGGGTGGTTGTGAGAGGAGGTGACCCCGCGTCTGCTGCTGTGACTGTGAGGATGTACCGTGCCGTCTCCTCCCTGTCCAGTGCGCTGACAGTCACCAACTCAAAGTAATTCTTATAGGCTGGCCGCAGGGAGAATGACAGTTGGTCCTCAAGGGCACAGGAGATCTTCCCATTGACACCAGAATCTCGGTCCCTGACAGTAAAGAGGGCGACCACTGTCCCAGGCAAGGCGTCCTCAGGGATGGGGCTGCTGAAGGAATTGACCACAACCTCTGGTGCATTGTCATTCACATCCACCACCTCCACCACCACTTTGCAGATTGCAGAGAGGCCTCCACCATCTGTGGCCTGAACACTAAGCTCATGATTCTCTGCTGTCTCAAAGTCCAGAGACTTTGTGAGTTTAATTTCACCACTCATGGGGTCAATCTCGAATGCTGAGTGGCTCTGGCCTCCTGCTTGGCTAATCTGGTAGGAGATGTCCCCATTAACTCCTGCATCACGATCGGTTGCCACTACTCTCAGAACCACAGAGCCCTGTGGGGCATTTTCCAAAATCTGTGCAATGAAAACCTTCTGTGTGAATACGGGAGCGTTGTCATTTACATCTAGAATGACAACGTGGATTTGGGTGGTTCCACTCCTGGGTGGAGAGCCCCCATCTACTGCAATGAGACTAAAGTCCATCTCTCCCTGATCCTCCCTGTCGAGTGGCTTTTCCAAAACCAGTTCAATATATTTATCATCAGACTGAGTCCCATAGTCAACACTAAAGTACTCGTCAGGAGAGATGCTATAAGCTTGGATGCTGTTGCTGCCAACATCCAGGTCCCGAGCCCCCTGCAGAGGAAAACGAGAGCCAGGGTTGCTCGTTTCCAGTATCTTAAGAGTGACCCGTTCCTCCGGGAAAACGGGCGCGTGGTCATTGATGTCCTCCACGCCCACCTCCACCCGAAAGAACTGCACGGGGTTTGCCAACAGGAGCTCGAAGGGCAGAGTGCAGGTAGCGGACTGGCCGCACAGCTCCTCGCGGTCCAGCCTCTCGGCCACGACGAGGCGGCCGGTGCCCGGCTCTAAGCGAAGGTGCTGCCGGCCGTCCTCCGAGAGCAGGCGGGCGCGGCGAGCCGAGAGCTGCGCCGGGGCCAGCCCCGCGTCCTCCGCTACGTTGGCTACCACGGAGCCGCTCTCGCTCTCCTCGGCTACGGAGTAGCGGATGGGCTCGGCGCGAGCGTGCAGCAGGGAGAGGAAAGCACAGAGAGAGAGCACTTGCCTTGCGGTCGCCATGGCGGGGGGGCGGACAGCCTCCGTGTCGGGGATTGCCCGCGCAGTCCTCTGCGGCAAGCCTGCGGTAAGACGTCTGCCCTGCAGCTGCTCGCCGGAACGGCGGACGTGCACCCTTTCTCTGCCCGAGTCCGGCTTGCGGCCCGGAGCGCTGCCGCCTTGTCGCTGCAGCGGGTAGTATGGGCTTCTGGTCGCGTCCGCTGCCCGGCTCGGCTCTGCCGAGCTGTGTTCAGCTCGACTGCGTCGGGCTGGGCAAAGCCAGTGTGGGCTCAGCCACCTCCCCTCCCAGCCGTTGTGCATCGCCTTGGCCGGCAGCACCACCCTGCGGCCCGAGACGGCACTGCGCCAGCTGCCCTCCATTTTCTCCTCTGCTAGCCCCGGCGCGCCGATCGGTGCTCACAGGAGCGTCTGCGGGCGCTCGTCCACGTTAGGGCCCCACGTTAGGGCCCCGCAGCAGGACCCGCGCACACCGCGCAGAGAGCCCCTCGAGGCCGCCGCTGCATCCCGAGAGCCCCGGCATCGCCAGCCGCTGCCTCGCGGCTTTCCCCGCTGCCCAGAGCCCGCCGCTCTGGAGATAGCAGAGTCGAGACGTGCATAGCCTGGCCGCCTCAAAGCCGAGGTCGGGCAAGGGGAAGAGCGATGACACTGGTTCTTATTGTGTCCTCCTCGGCAGCCTGGACAGCTTCTGCCCCTCAGAAGGAGACAGCTTGAAGGACGTGTCGGAAAAGGTGTCAATAAACGTTATGCCGATTGCGGTGGTGGCGGAGCGCGGCATTTGTCCCTGTTCTCATACCAGCACGGCCAGCCACTGCCGGTTCGCGTCCCTCTCCGACACGGCCCGCACCGTGCGCACCTCGCCCATGTGCAGCCCAACGCGGAACAGCGGCAACGCCGTCGGCCTGGCCAGCTCGTACGACAGCCACGCGTTCTGCCCCGCTTCCGCGTCCATCTCCATCACCTTGGCCACCAGGTAGCCCACCCGCGTCCTGCTGAGGTTTGAGTGCAGCGCGACTGGAACATTGGTGTTCTCATCCCACACTTGAATGAACGATCCATGTGCGTGGCATCGCCCACAGCCACCTTGTTAGGCGTGCACTTCCTCTTAGTCCAGCGGACGCCTGCACGTTTCCCCTCTCTCCAATACAGAAATGCCGCTTCAAGGGCTCCCCGCGGCGCCGGCTCCAGCGCGTAACTCATACGGGCATTGTTTCTCGCCTCGGCGTCCGTGGCGGTCAGGCGGCCCAGGGTAGTCCCCGCACGCTCGTTTTTGCTCAGTGCTGGTCCCGTCCCGCACACTGACGAAGGCCACGGTGTTCGGTGAGACGGCTTTTTCCCGTTCGTTCCTGTGTCTAGATCGTTAGCAGGCACCGCCATCACTAAGGTATCCTGGGACCTATTTAATACCGAGATTTTACACAGCTTCTTGGAACCTTGCTCCAGCTTCTGAGAACGGCCTGCTGATTTCCCCTTCACAATGTCCACGAATTTATTCCCGAAATCCTGCTCTTTGGGGCAGCTGTTTTCTTGGTGATGATTGTGACAAATTCTCTTCGAGAAAGCACACTCATCTGGGGGAGGTCCGAGTAGGTTTTGTTTTCTGTCATCAGGCATTTGACTTTTAAAAATGTGTGTTACAGGAGATATCACATTACCTTATAGATCAATACCGATTAATGAAAACAGAAAGCTTCTTGACGCCCTATATTCTACTGCGGCTTAATCGTAGACTACTGTAAACCCACAAATGTTCTCTACTACTTAATGAAATGTTTTGAACCTTACTTTATGGAAAATAAAACTGAATACATTGCTTAAATCCCACTCTTTACAATACGGAGAACCTGTAAACATCTGATCACATATGCAAAGTATGCCAGTATCAGCTGTTTCTAATGTAACTGTCTTCGGCTTGCTACTAAGGAATTTCTTTGCAAGCACTTCATTTTGCTTAGTATCTACTTGGCCTGATATTGAACAGGCTGAAGAAATTTCAGACATGGCTAAAGAGTTCTCTCTATAAGAAAACAAGAAAATGTGGAAAAGTTATCTCAAAGACCTGCCTCCAGTGTTATTTCCCTTACCATTTAGAAGCAGTAGCTCATACATCATCTCGGTGTAAGTATACGTTACAGTTCTCCTCCTGCATCCATATAATTACAAAATACCTACATTAATAAAGAACACTCAAGAGTGGTTTTGCTCACACAGGGAAGCTTTCCACCTCCCTGGTACTTTTTGGTGGATGTTTGGTCTCTGTTCCCTTTTCCCTCTGAGGACGTTCATCAGCAAGGACAGGCGTGCTTGTCTTTCTCTTCACTTATTCCTGGGTGAGCCAAGGGTTTTGATCAGAACTGACATTTAGTTCCATACCCCTGTTCGCAGTGTAGGCTGCTTCTGCGGGGCTGGGACCCACACCTTCGGGGAGGGGAGCTCTGCCCTGCGGAGAACAGAGTGGAAGTTATCATTTGGGCTTCGAAAGTAAGCAGACAGCAGCGAGAAACAAGGGCATGTCTTACACCACTGCATGTGTGACCTGAGCCAAAGAGTGGTGGTGGACTTGGTGGTGGGTGTCTGACCAGAACAGGGAAAATCTAACGCAAGAAACCATCCTCCACTGTGGATATGACAAAGGCAAACCTTTATGAGTCTGAGGAAGTAATTTAAGAGCCCGAAATAAAAACATTTTCTAACAGCAAATGTGGTTTAATGTTGCTGTATTAAGGTGGGTCCTGGTCTCCCCTGAGGCTACTGCAACAGGTTCCTAGAACCTGCAGTAAGTCATCTGTGGTTATATGAAAATATGACTGTAAACAATTACGGGTTTGTGGATCTTTAAACATATATGAAGTCCTCAGCCTCATATATGTTCATTCTCCGGACCATTGTGAAGTGCTAGATGGATCCCCAGAAAATAGTAATCCCATATTTAGAGAGGACTTGAGCTTCATGGGAGAGTGAGAAGGAACTGCTTTAATGATCACCTCATCTCCCCTATGGTCTTTGAACAGCCGAAGGTTAATGGATGCCTCAGGTATGACTTGCTCTGAGTTCACAGAAACGATAGCTGGTAATGTCTGACAGCACCCGCAAGGTCAGGAAAAGGCTGTGAGGTTGCTTTGTAAAGTCAAGATAACCATATTTTTCTGGACAATAATATTGGTGCAAGCCATAAAAAATGTAAGAACTCAATGGCAGAGGTCCCCACCTCCGTGGCCTCCAGCAGTTTATCAGACAGCCCAAGCTCGGTATTGCCACCACCCTGGTGAACAGCACTTGGCAACGCCGAGCACCAGCTCCTAACAGCAGTACAGGGGACATAATTAGCTACGTGACACCCCTTCGCACCGTTGTCCCCGCAGTCCGCTTGACTCCGCAGAGGATCACTGCATTCCCGGTGCTACCGGACGTGTTCCTAGGGGGTGTGTCCTTCCTGCTCTGGGTCCGTATTGGCTCTACACAGTGCGTGGACAAGACCCACTGCATGGGTCACAATTCTATACATATTCTCTTGGCCCAGCTGCTCCCTCCCTCTGTGAGCCCACAGATCAAGCCCACCAGACTTAAGACGATCTAAGTGATGCTCAGAGCACAGACCTAGGGGCGGAGAGGCGTGGTTATTCAACACGGGGAGCATCAGCTAGTCAACATCGACAGTCCTTACTGCCAGTCACACCCTGCCGCCGCGCTGCTTCCCCCCCGCTCCCCCCATCGCCTCGGCGTCGCCAGGTCCCTCACCTGTGCAGACCGGTCGCCTTCCTCTCCGGGGATAGCCGCGTCTTGCGAGCACACCGAGCTCCGCTGCTCGCCCTGGCCGGCGGGCAGCCCGGCGGGGAAGCAGGGTAAGAGGGGCCTTAGGAACCGAAACTCGCTGTTGACGGTCCCGGTGGCGAAGCAGACGTCGTACAGGTAGCTGCGGGGCAGGGATCCCGCGTTCTCTGTGGCAGCCTTCGGAAACGTGGGCAGGAACTCCGCCTCACTCTGCCTGGCCCGCCGCACCTTCACTGCCACGGCGGCCACCGCGGTGGCCAGGAACAGCGCCGACACACAGGCCAGGGAGGCAATAAGGTACAGAGTCAGCGGCTCGTCTGGCTCAGACGCTGGTACCTCCTCGCTCACTCGCAGGTGGGTGTCGGAGAAGCCGTCCACGAGGGTGATGCCGAGGGTGGCGGTGGCGGAGCGCGGCGGCTTTCCCTGGTCCCGCACCAGGACAACCAGCCTCTGCCGGGACGCGTCCCTCTCAGACACGGCCCGCACCGTGCGCACCTCGCCGCTGTGCAGCCCAACGCGGAACAGCTCCGGCTCCGTCGCCTTGGCCAGCTCGTACGACAGCCACGCGTTCTGCCCCGCGTCCGCGTCCACAGCCACCACCTTGGCCACCAGGTAGCCCGCCCGAGCCCAGCGCGGCACCAGCTCACCCGTCGCTGCACTGCTCTCGGGAGGTGGGTGCAGCACGACGGGTGCGTTGTCATTCTCATCCCGCACTACTACGCGCAGCACCGTCTGGGCGCTGAGCGGCGGCGAGCCGCCGTCGGTAGCTCGTACCGCCACCTCGAAGGCGCGCACCTCCTCGTAGTCCATCGGGCGGAGGATATAAATATCCCCATTTTCTGAGTTGACCGACACGACGGGCTTCTCGTCTTCCCGCTGCACAAGCGCGTAGTTTATGCGGGCGTTGCTTCCCGCGTCGGCGTCCGTGGCGTTCACGCTGCCTATCCGGAGCATGGGGCTGTTGTTCTCAGTGACCGACATGGTGTAAACCTCCTGGGTGAACTCCGGGGAATTGTCGTTCACGTCCGATATCTGCACAAAGAGGTTTTTCCGGGAGCTGAGCCGCGTCGTGCCCCAGTCCGTGGCAGTGATGGTGATGTTGTATTCTGCTGTCCCTTCCCTGTCCAGGGCCGCGTTTGTTCTCAGTTCGTAGTAATTATCAAAAGTCGGGGTGAGACTGAAGGGCAACTCCCCATCGATCGAGCACTCTGTTCTGCCGTTGTCCCCAGAGTCCCGGTCCCGCACACTGAATAGGGCCACCACGGTGCGGGGCAGAGCGGCCTCAGGGATGGAGGCTGTGAGGGAGGTGAGCGCAATCTCCGGAGCGTTGTCATTCATGTCCAGGATCTCCACCTGCACTTTGCAATGCGCCGACAGCCCTCCGCCATCAGTGGCTTTCACCACCATCTTGTGGGTTTTCGCTTCCTCGAAATCCAGGTTGCCCGCCACCCGTATCTCCCCTGTGGCGGGGTTCAGCTCAAAGAGCTGCCTGGACCTCTCCGGTGTCTGGGTGAAGGCGTACCGCACTTTCCCGTAGGACCCTTCGTCGGGATCCACGGCCGTCACTTTAACCACCAGCTGCTCCGGAGGGCTGTTCTCGGCCACGCGCACCTCGTAGACCTCCCGAGCGAATACCGGGGTGTTGTCATTGGCATCCACCACCACGATCCGGACCTGGACCGTCCCCGACCTGGGTGGCGAGCCCCCGTCGGTGGCGGTGAGAAGTAAATTCAGCTCTCTTTGCTCTTCTCGGTCCAGCTGGCGCTCTAGGACGAGCTCCACGTATTTTACTCCATCTTTCCCTGTTTCGAGAGAGAGGGAGAAATGCGAATTTGATCCAAGGCTGTAGCTCTGCAAACCGTTACTGCCCACATCCTGGTCCTGAGCGCTTTCCAGGGGGAAACGGGACCCAGGAGATGCCGTTTCGGGAATCTCTAAAACCATCTCCTTCTCCGGGAACACGGGGGAGTTGTCGTTCACGTCACGAATCTCTACCTCCCCTCGGATCAGCTGCAGCGGATTTTCAAGGAATATCTTAAAGATCATCATGCAGGTGTCACTCTGCGGACAGATCTCCTCTCGGTCCAGCGACTCCTTTGCAGTTAGGACTCCGGTGTTTTGATTAAGGCGGAAAAGCTGCTCGTTCCCCTCGGACACAACGCGGGCGTTGCGAGCAGCGAGCTGGCTCGGAGAAACCCCCAGGTCCTTTGAAATATTGGCGACAAAGGAGTCTTTCTCCATTTCCTCCGGCAGAGAATAGCGGAGGGTTTCGGCCGCGCTCTGAGACACGCAAACGCACAGAAAAAACAAGATTACTTGCCTCTTGCTGTCTCTGTTCCGTATCCCGCACGCCATTACTCTCCAGAAAGGCCATCCACAGTCCTCCTTGATTCCCAGCATTTCTAAGCAGCGTCCGAGGCAGAGCGGTGTTTGTCAGGAATCCCGGGGTCGTGGGATTTGAAAGCTTCCGAGCACCCAAGCTCCGAGCAGCGCAGCTCTTGTCGGATAGCTCCTATGGCTTTTTTTGTCTCCCTGCGCCTGCAAACCCGGGGTGGGCAGCGGAACCTGCAGGTCCGTGGGCAACATCCCCACCCAGCGTCGTAAGGAGGAATAGTCCGTCCTCTGCCTTGCTCGGGGCAGAGCTGTTGGTTCGGAGCTGGCTGCTTGGTTCTGTAGCCTCCCTGCCAAAACGAAGCTAACGGGCGCAGTGTAAATGCTCTTCTCTCTTGGAAGCCGGCTTCCTCCCTGCATGCCCTAGGTATCTTCCCAGCTCACACCCACGAGCTCTTCATAAGCAGCTTTTGGATTGCCTGAACACTGCGAGGGATGGGGCAGCCACAGCTTCTCTGGGCAACATCCGCCAGTGTCTCACCACCTTCACAGGGAAGATTTGTTTCCTAATATCTAAATTTCCCCTCTAAAACCATTACACCTTGTCTTATCCTTACATGCCCTTATAAAAAGCTACTCTTCAGGTTTCTTGTAGGACCCTTTAGGCGCTGGAAGCTGCTCTAAGGTCTCCCCGAGGGTGACTTCTCCAGGCTGGACAACCCCAACTTTCTCCTCCTGTCTTCATATGATGGTGTACAGTCCTTTCTCCTCTACTGTTACCCCACAAGCTTAGAAATACTTTAGAGGTTCCTCTACTCAGACGTCAAACCTGAACTCCTCTCCCTGTGTAAGGATACACAGCCTACAGCTATTTAATACAAAAGGCAAGGAGACAGGAGAGCTCATAAACTCCCAGGTACCCAAAAGGTAATGAGCAGGAGCTAAAGGGGATAATAGCAACGACTCGGGATCTAATGACGCAATTAAAAGAACCATTCAGGTGTAAATCAAGAGAGGCTCAACCAGAAACCACAAGAGACGCAGCGGCGTGCCCCGGGAAAGGCCCACGCTATGTTCCGCTGGTGTTTTTTTTGTATATATGGAAAGTGTCCTGACCACCCTGTTCTTCATACCTTTAATTTCCCAGGTGTTTCCGCTTTATTTTTTGTTTGCTAAAAGGGCTGCAACTGTCCAGCAGTACTCACCAGGTGAAGTTCCAGAAATTCGCTGATGCCTTTGTTTTAAAATAAAAACTTCGTGACTGTATCAGTTGGAGAATGTAGTAGCCAAGATTTACAGAATTTTAACTACATTTTTAGCTATTAGGATTTTTCACGGGTGTAGCCATCTTTTATGATTTCTTCTTAGCCCCATTTGAATTGTAGGGGTAATGGAACTGAAAAGGTTAACTTACATCAAAGATCAGGTCAGCTATATCTTCCTTTCTTCCCTTCCAGGGACATGTCCATCTCTTGAGTGGCTATTTTCACCAGCAAAGAAGCTTGATGTAAAACCATAGGTCAAGTACAGCGGTAGATGTGTTGGAACGTGGCTTGTCTCCTCATTTGTGCCGTGCAAAAATAACAGTGATACTTGGAATCCATTTGTTTTTGCCTTTGCCAGTGCTCCTGCTCAGCTCTTGGTAACTCAAAGAGAGAGGTAGTTTTGCTTCTGCATAACCTAATATTTGGAACAGACACAAGCTGGGAAGAGCTTCCACAAACACTTCCCACCATCTCAGCAATAACCTGGCAATTGTTACCCCATTTCAGAAAGGGGATGGTGTCTTTCCACTGCAGATGTAGAAGGGTGTAAGAGGACATCAAAACATCAGAAGGTGCTGTTCTTCTACTGTCCTGGGTTCAGCAGTAGCAGTCATTTTTCTCCTTCTTAGTAGCTGGTGCAGTGCTGTGTTCTTGGCTTTCAGCCTGGGAACAGCTCTCATAACACCAATGGTTTTAGTTGTTGCTCAGTAATGTTTACTCCAACCAAAGACTTTCTCAGTTTCATGCTCTGCCGGGAGAGGGGAAGCCAGGAGGAAGCAGAGACTGGACACCTGACTCAAACTAGCCAAAGAGGTATTCCATACCACAGCATGTCATGCCCGGTATATAAACTGGGAGCAGTTACCCGGAAAGGTTAGATTGCTGCTCAGGTCGGGCTAGGAATCGGTCGGCGGGTGGTGAGTGATTGTATTCTCTTCCCTTGTTACTCCCTTTATTATTGGTGGTAGCAGTAGTGGTTTTGTGTTATATGTTAGTTACTAGACTGCTCTTATTTCAGCCCGTGGGAGTTACACTATTTCGATTCTCCTCCCCATCCCTCCGGGAGAGGGGGAGGAAGAAGACGAGGAGTCAGTGAGCGGCTGCGTGGTTCTGAGTTACCTCCTGGGCTTAAACCACGACAGACTGAAGCTCATCTTTTAGAGAAATGCCAAATAAAGAGGGTCATTTACCATGCCCCACTGGATTTTGGATGTATGCTGTTATTTTCTGTTGGGTCACAACAATAAAATGGACATGTTTAACTGGAAAAAAGTACGTATGTTGCCAGACAACAGCACATTGTGTTTTAGGGCACACTATAAGGAACTATAGCCACAATAAAATTCTGATTTGCATAAAGGTGTCAGAGAATTTACTTATCTCCTTGAGCACGTAGTACTGTTGTAGGTTTCCTCTTTTCTTGCTTTAGTGATAATATCTTTATCCTAAGAAGGTGGTTTAAAATGGTGGAAAACTGGTTCTTTTCTTTACCCTGAGATTTACATCTTAACACTAGCAAAGAGCTACTGCAACATACTCTGCTCAGTTCTTGGTATGTCTATTTCAGAGTACAGTGTTTCTAAATGAAGATTCTGCTGCACTTCTGCAGCCTGAGCAATTTCAGTTTCTTCCTGTTGGTCTTCCAGCTGGGAATTCAGATCTGCCAAGAAAAATCTCAGAGACCCCATGGCAAATTTGGTTGCGCTTCTGGGTAAAAGCTTTTTCCCCATCCCTGGAATCCGTCCACCTCCAGCACACCCTGAGGGCAGCCGGGCTTGGGAGGAATCCTTGCCTGCAGATCGAAAGCACAGATGCTTCCCCGAGTCCCTGTGTTTTCCAAGACGAGTGCAAACAGGGACCAACATTCCCATCCTCTTGTTCCCAGACAGCTCCAGGACTGGTTTCTGTTCTCTCCTCCAGCACTCGGCGCTTGAATTCCCAGCTCTCCTATGAAAATGGCTGCCCCGAGTTCTCAGCTACATGCAAACGTGAGGAAAGCCGGGAACAATAGTTCCCACCCTGCTGGCTCTCCGTTATACTGTAAATGCCGCTGGTACAGCTCCTGTTTATGGTTCATTTTCCGAGAGCTAAGCCGGCCTCCTCTCTCTGTATTTATTCCAGTTAGTGCTTTCCCCATCATTCCGTTAAATATAAACAATACTTTCTCTCGGTGTTAAGTCGGTGCTTACCAATCAACGGGCTCTGCTTGAGTCATGCCAGACCGGCGGTGAAATGCTTCCGAATTCCCCAGGACTGGACCTGGGAGACTGTCTCCCTCCTTCTCCTTCCCCCTTGTGCTCTTCATGTTTCCAGCCGGTTCTCAATGCAGCAATTCCCAGCACATCCCCTGAAAAGGCTTTGAACTAAGGCGTATTCCAGTACAGCCGGGGCATTTCGGTTGGGCTCTCAGCTGATGTCAGCCAGGCAGCATCTAGCTGGACCCTCCCTGCGTGGGAGCCCCCGCCCAGCGCTGGCCAGCAGCGGCACTTGGCGTCCAGCGCAGGAACTGCACCAGCCCCAGCACAGCGCCTCCGCTGTTAGGCTCTTGGCTGTCCCAAGGGCAAATAATGAACCACGTCCCCCACCTGAAGTCTTTGGCAAATAAACGTACGTTCTTAGTAGCTATCAAGGCATTTGGTTTGGCTCAGGTATGTAGAAGGCATCCTATACAAACCTGTCAGCAAATGTGCTTAACAAAGATGCAAGCTATGGGCAATTGTAGTGGGTACTGCTCATGTGTTGTGCCCTATACTTTCCAGATGCCAGAGACCCGATTGAGGCTTTTTCAGGCACAGGCTGCTTGCAGGAGGCTCAGAGTTTTGAATATTTTCTGTTTCACAAGGAGATCTCCAGGTGTTGTATGTCATCTCCTAAAGTAACCTGAAGTTAATGATCAATTTAGTATTAATAGTGTAAGAACATCCACTACTCCTTGGATCAGCTGCAATGGATTTTCAAAGAATATCTTAAAGAAGTGTGCAAGTATCACTCTCCAGGGCAATCCAGATGTCCTTTTCGTCCAACAGCCCCTTCATTGTCAGGACTCTGTTGTTTTGATTGAGGCAGAAATGCTGCTGCTTCTCCTTAGACAAAATGGGGCCCACGTTTCCTCCTCAGTAGTAGTACTTTTCTATTAGCATCACCTTGTAAGGTTATCCGCTCTAAAATCTCTCCTGCATATCTTCCAACTTTGACAAATAAAGGGAAATTCCCTGCTTCAGAAGTCTGAGCTTATAGACCTTCTCAGAGACATTCTGCACTCTCCAATCTCCAAAAACAATGCTGGACAGAAGAAACCAGCCAGATGTCTACCCAAACCCTTTCCATCCTACATCTTTTGAAGGCAATGAGTTCTTGCTGTCTTCTGTCTAGACATGACATTCTCAGTACTTCTTGTTTAAAATTAAATCCTCTCATCTTCAACACTTTGCTGTCAAAAATGCCTTTTGAAACCAAGTAATTATTCTCATCTTCATAAACTGTAATGGGATCTAATTTTTCCACCCTCAACCTCACTCCTAGACCAAATACGCAGCAACTTTCTGCCTAAGTCCCTAAAACTGTGTGTTTTCTTGTGTTTGTGTTCTCAAATGGCCCACAAATAAGATTTCAATTTCTAGCTCTAAGATGATGCATTTTGTGTGGGAAAATGTCATCTACTGACCTTTTTATTTTCATGTTCTTGTGTCCAATTTCTCTGAGACTCCTTTCCCAGTTCCCTGAAGTGGCTGTTTCAGTTGAGTAGGAAGAGATAGATTCCATTGGAAAGTAACACCATGAACAGTCATGCAGCACAAGGTTGTTGGGCTATTCAAGTTCACTGTGTGAATTTTGCCTTTGTGTGCTTTCCATGAAGCAGCAGAGAATAAGATGATTTTCTCAGCGATATTTGGATAGCCTTGAAAAAGAGACTTCAGGGACAGAAGTGCCACACAGGCATTTCACGCATAAGGGCAAGAAATTTTCAGCTTGTGAAGAAATGTTTCTACAAATGGCTACCTGAAGATGATTAGAAGTGATTGAAAGAAAATGGTTGATATAATAATGAAGTGAGAAACAGCCAGACTGTATACTGTTCTTAACAACATATTTGTTCAATGGACAGACCAGGAAGGAAAGGATACAGGGAGAGCTTGGCTTTAGACAGGCTAATTTTGAAAGTCTAGCTGCTCATCTGACGAGAGAAACAGGGATCAAGCTGGGAAGCAGAATTGGAAGGGAAGGAGAGAAATGGTGAGCAGAAGGAGGGATAGCAATGTTTAGGGGAGGGAAAAGTGCTATGCAAGAGGGGCCAAGAGTGAACAAGCATTCTATTTGGTTGACAAGGCTGATCAGGAAGGATAAGGACAGAAATACACATAAGATCCGTCCTCGAAGCATCTTATGATGAACTGGTTTGGTGTAGCACCTGTAAGAAAAGAATCAAAATAGGCCTTGGTAAAGGGCAAGTGGAGTCCAATCTGTCAGAGTGAAAAGGGCAGTAGATGCTGTTTGAAGTCAAAGCATGGACCAAAAGGAGCCAAAATAGACACAAGGAATAAATTAACCACAGGCAGGAGAGGAAGTAAGAGAAAGAAAGGTGGAGATACAGTTCTTCAAGCACCTGCCTGTCCCTCCCCATTCTCAGTGTCTGGCTTATGACCTACATTTCCTGTTTTCCATATTTCTCCCTCAACATGTCTCTCTTTCAACTTGAGAGTAAGAAAGTTATCAGAAGGTAGCAGTAAACCAAGAGAGAACCCTATTATCTCAGTTTAACAGGATGAAGTGACCAGAGAAAGCAACCATCAGTGCCCTACTTCCTGTTTCCTGATGTCAGGTTTGGCCTGTCTTCAAACCAAGTTTGCAATCCTGTAACCCTTGGATGGCATGAACATACTGAGAAGGTGGAAACACCTGGCTCAGTGCTACCTAAAGGGAGATCAATGGAGAATTGATTCAAGCAAGATCACTGCCTGGAAGGAAAACAGCTTCCAAACAGATTTTCACAGGAATAAAAGCAATCAAGTGTGTTGTCATGTTTACTCATATCATAGGTGACCAGAGGAATAGGTCAAGATGAGCAGATCACCACCCCCACCCCCCCCTTCATGCTTAGTGCTTCTGAAGGCACAGTGACCAGTCCAGCAGTTAACTAAGTGGACAACACTATTCATAAACCAAATGCAGCTAAATGGTAAGGACTATATAACCCCAGCATGAGAAATCTGGCCTATGCTTCAAAGAAGGTGCAAAGACATCCTGGTATGGTAGCATACTTGGAAGCAAAGGCTTTTATGCCCTGTTTAACACCCTCTGCCCTCAGCTGCAGATCCCTTTCTCTCACATTTCAGGAGTGACTTCAGACCAGGAACCCTGTGGGGTCACAGAATGACCCTTGTGTCTCTGACACAACTAAACCATTCCCAGAAATACAGGGTGACCAGTGAAATTCCTGGGAGATCTTTTACACAATGCGGTGAAGTCCCGGCTCTCTATATCCTAACATACCCTTGTATCTTGACTTTTATTTTTTTTTACCTGATTTACCTTGCCAAAGCTGAGCTGTGGAAAGGTGTCATTCCGTCAGATGATGTTTCAACAAGCTTAGTGGTGCTGACAAGAGACACGTAGATACTCTGCAAGAAAGGAAACTTAAAAGGATAGAAACCATCCCTCCTGTGGGGAGAAATCCAGAAAGGATTTAATCATTGTTTAGCCAACAGGTGCATACTGGTATCAGTATCACATTTACTAACAGAGTGGACACACTTGCAGTGAAGAACTGAACAGCAGCTCAAAGATAGATGCACACAGTTTCTAGTGAATAATTATAAATAGGTATGAAAGCAATGTATTTATTAGGTACTGCTGAAGGTGCATGACAAGGAGTTTACTTTCCAAAGAGTTTATATCTGGACAGATACAGCACACCTCTGATGCCAAGATTCTTCTACTTCTGGGCTTGCAAAGGGGGGGGGGGGGGGGGGGGAAGGAAGCAAACCAAACAGGGAAAAACTATGAAGGAAAGGGGGAAATGAAAGAAGGAGAAATGAAAAAAGGGGGAGGAAAGAAGGGGAAGGAAAGAAGGATCAGTGATGGGGAGGGCTATTAAAAAACGGCCTGCAGTCAATGAGCACTATTACATATAAAAATATTATCTGCTCAAGCCCATCCAAGAAGGTGATGAGGCTTGGGCACCACTTGGGATAACTTCAACGCAGTCGTTTTGTCCTGCAGTAAGTCAGCCCCTGCCCGGGGTGGAAGGCGGGGCAGTGGGCCCGGAACCGCTGTGGCAATCCCTACTCCGCGCCAGCGGAGGGCAGCCGCCGCCGCAGAAACAGACCAACGGCGGCTCCGCCAGCCACAGGAGGGAGCGGCAGAAACCGGCTTGAAAACAGCCAGGCAGCTCCCTCGGCTCGGCTGGGCAAGGACCAGGGACAGGCAGGTCTCTTATCTATCTATCCATCCATCTATTTACCTACCCACCCATCCATCAGTTATCTGTCTATCTATCCATCCATCTGCATCAGCATCGTGGGGAGCTGGCCCCCGTTGCGCTTCTCGGTGCACAGGGGAAAGGAGCACACACTCAGACCCAGGGAAACAAGCTCAGACCTACAGAGTTTTAAACTCAAAGCAGGCTGCTGCAGGGAAGGGGGACAAGGTCATTAGTGAGGTGGTGAGATTGCGAGGGGGAATGCAGCGCTCTGGACTGAGCTAGGTTTGAGAGGGGATATAGGTCATGGAGCGGCCATGGAGATTGGTTTATCCCTTGGGGTTCCTAGCACTGGCTTTCTATCCTTGCCCCAGATCAAAAATGAAATTGCAGTAATATTGAGCAGTACACTGGTTCCCCCCAGCACTGGGAGCACAGGGCAAGTGAGGACAGCAGCCAGCTTAAAGCCAGGGAATCAGGGATTGCTGGGAGAGACGCCAGGGCTGAAGGATTTAACTTCCCTGTCAGGCCAGTGTATCTCTAATGCAGAATATATTCATACCATTTTAAATACGCTTAAAGAACTGTATCCAGATTCATTACTACATGCTTATCTTCCATTTTAAGCTTCACAGAAGACAAAGAAAGTGGGGTACAGACTCCTATTTAGAGAGACAGTTGTCAGGAATTCATATTTATAAATATATATATGATATACCTAATCACACAGTTCAATTTGAGGCTAAATTAACAGTTTTGTCCATGACTGATGTTTTAAAATACCTTAAAGAAAATACAACTTTTAAAGTTTAAGCCAAGATTTTAAAACAAGATTAGTGATGTGGAGGTGCTTGATAAAGAAGGTCCAGCCAAAGCACAGTAAGCAAATCTGATTTTCGATAATCAAGCATGTAATGCACTGCTGTAAGCAAAAGAGGTTTTGGCTCATTTTTCTCAACATGCAAAACATTTTCTGTGCCTGTGCTTCACAGTATTTAATTTCTGCTGAAGATGAATTTATTATTTTACTTGGCCTGTACAGTTTAGTCCTCAAGTCCTCTAAGATATTTGAAATAACCGAGCCATGTATTCTGTACTGTGTTAGAGGAAAATGAATTTGTATACGTCTGATTAAGCAGGCACGTAACATTTCCACTGTTGAAAAAAAAAATTACATAATAGAAAAAAATGTGTCTTAACTTCACCAATTGTTATGTGTGTAGTTAGGACTAGTTCTGAAGGCCCAAATGATTAAAGAATACTTAACTGGAAATTAAGGACAAAGTTTTTGAAGTGTAATCCTGGAAGCCCTGCTCTGCCTCCTCAGAGACAGAGAGCTCAGATACACTGCTGAGGAACATTAGCTCTCTACCTCTAGAGTTCTGTCAGATCACAGAGTTCTGCCTCTGCATGTGCAGATATGTCCTGACATTAGCAAGCACCTTAGTTTTTCCTTTGAGTGCCCAGATGGGATTCAGAAGTTTGTGATCCCATGTCTGTCTTCCCAAAGACATCTGGTTCACTTGACATCAGTGGATAGACTTTGTGCAGAACCTATGCAAACTGTGGTGCTGCCAGGCAGAGAATAGTGCTTTCTTTTGAAACTGTAAAATGGAGAAGAAGATTATACAATCTCCTTTTTCTTTAATACCAGCTTATGGTTAAGGTTTCAGAGTTAAACTCTGCCTAAAAAGGTTCAAACTCACCTCTGGATATTGAATGACAGGAACTTTGGCATGGGACTGGAGTGATTCTTAACCTTCTGTTCAAAATATACATTATATTCATTTGCAGGCAGTAGCAAACAACTAAATCAGTATCTCTTTACTTCATTATTTTTTTCTTTCATGCATCTCATTCTGTTTCTTGATACATCAATCAGGGCAGCAAAAGAAAAAAAATGTCCAAAAATAATTTCCCCACACCTGGTACAAGGTCATGGGTGACTCTCAGAGAGATTAAGAATTAATACAGGCTGCTTGTGTGAATAAAAAGCATGTAAGTTGAGCTTTCTCTTTCCAAACTCAAGTTTAAATGTGTATCCTTTTGAACATATGGAAAACCCCACTCTGTGGCCAATACACAACTGTTACTCTGAGGGTAAAACCAGGATATTTGATACAGCAACAGGAAGATATAAATTTTCATTACATTGTTGTTCAGTAGATGGAGTATAAGTTACTTTTAGATGAAAAGCTAAACCAAGAGACTCCTGGCTATCCAGTCTTTGTTTATTAACACTTTCTAATAAATGCATGTGTCAGAAAGACATCAGATACAGTATTTGACAAACCCTTTAAGCTGAACAGAATAAACCTGTGTAATGATTCTTGCTTTGTACATAACCTTCACACATGCCTCATCAGCAAAGCAACAGAAAAATCAAGATGAATTGAACTGTTGTACTGCACGGATAATAGAGTTCCAGCATCATGAGGATGCAGCAAAAATTTTCTTCAAGGAAGCCTTGCCTAAAGATGAACTGCAGGAGAAGAATAATTAAAGAAAAGCAAATACAATAATAGCCTAATAATTCTTTCATTTACATAGCATTCAGACAAAACAATTGATATTGCCTCTGAATCTGAGATTTTTAACTTGTTTGCTTTCCTCCTTACCTCACTGGTGGCTCGAATGCTCTCCAGTTTCAGAACAGTGAGTCACAGCTGGCTGAAAATACAGCTTCCACAAGTCCCAGTGTGTTGAAAGGGAGAAAACCAGTGAGGCCTAGTACCAACAATAAAAGGTGGATTAGAGCAGCAGCTATGTGGTAAGACTGGGAAACTAATTTACTGTCTTTAAAATCAACAACGATGACAAAATAAGAAAAAAAAATAAAAGAAATTTCAGTTGAGGGGAAAAGTTACAAATTCTAAGGAACACAAAATAATCATTAAGATCTACAAATCCTGGCTGCCTCTTCTAGACAACTGCTTTACACTGTCTTTAAGAACAGATAATTATTTTAGGAAACAGATAATAGATTCTCAATCACACTACAACTGTCTGCTGTTACACAGAGGCCATCCAACTGTTGTCAAGTTTGTCAATAGTCTGAAAACTAGCTGTAATGTTACCACAACGCACATACCGCGCATAGCATGTGAGAGCAGTTAGCATAATACTGGACATAAATTTTAGAGATACATGAGCTATCACAACCCCATTACAAGGTCAATACCAGTAAGTGCAGTCTGCTCAAAGAATCCCCTGAATGGAAGATGCATCACATAATGCATCTTGCATTTGTTGTAGCAAATTTCTAGAGCTTTAAGGAGAACTCTGTACTAAGATGGTGATTAAGAGGTATAATGAAATGTTGTCCACCAAAGAGAAGACACTCATAAATGCCAGGCAGATAACAAGCAATGGGTCCTTAAGACAAATAAGAAGGAAATGTAAGAGATAGTCAGATTGTCAGGACTGTGTTATCATATAAATCAATGAAAACCCTAAAGCTTCCCCTAAGAATAAAATGCTGGAGCTGAAAATAAATGGTGAAATCAGAAAACATTTTCCTCCAAACAGCCCCAAGCAAACAAACAAACAGAAACCCCAGGCTGGTATACCTACCAATTCACTTGAATATTCAAAAAGACTTGATACGAATGGTCAAATGAATTTCTTTAAAATGCCAAAGTACTGTTCTTACAAAAGCTCTTCGTGCATCGTTTGAAGTTTCACATCAAATTGGGGTGGAAGGGAAGGAAGAGAAGACCCTTCCTTCCAGACAGACATTTGCACTTGCCTCTGAAATAAAATGTGTGAATTATACATAGTTAAGAATAAGATCAAGCTTGGAAAGTGATTCTTTTGTCACTAAGTGAAACAGTGACAGACACTGAGCACCTTTCAGAGGACTGCAGGTACTGGTTTCCTAGCCCATGGAAGCAAAATCCTGAGACTATTCTGAGGATTTCCGAATAGACATTGTAAACATCTCGAAATGTATGTATATCTATAACCAGAGCAGAAAATGTATTCATAAGACTTTTCTTAAGTCCTTTTACACGGACGCTGGAAATACAATTTGTATTGAGGTAGTAATTTCCTAAATTCTTAAGACCCTTTAGCTTCTTAAAGGTCCCTGGTGCTACTCAAGGTGAAACACAGCACAATGTAGCATGTGTGGATATATATATATACCATATAGGATGCCTGGGCTTGTCTTCAGTGCCAAAAAGACATGGGTCTTAAACAGAGCTCTGTAACATCTTCCAGTCCTCTGCATATGTTCCAGTTATTGTTGCACACAGTACTGGCTGCCAACCAGCCGGTAAGGGAATCAACTTGTTATTTCTAAAACACAATTACTGGACTTGGACACAAGGGGAAACATGTAGCAGAAGTCACAAGCAAGGGGAAAGCAGTTCTTCCAGCCATCCGGAAGAAGTGAACAAGTTAAACCCCCAATTCCTGCTCACCTTATTTCCTGCTAGAAAGTAGCAAAAAGTAGAAGAACCTAGATAGTCCTGTCACTGTGTGGCAACAGTTTAAACTCTCATCACAAGTCTAACGAGGAGAGTACAGCTTAAGGGGAAGCAGGTTATGTCAGAAAGATTTGGTATCTTTCTCTGACAAGATTACAAATATGAATGATAATTGAGACTGCAGCACTGATATGTAATCAGACTTTTGTAAGACTGGCTTTACACTTCTAATGTTCAGATAAAAAAGCAAAAACAAGAGCACCATGGAAAATTGGGATGGCACATATTGTATTTGTCAAATTGGTAGTCTCACTGCAATTAATCTGGCTGCATCAAATTGCAATTAGACTAGCAATGTCCTATAAAGACTTCCTTTTATGCTTTTTTATAGAGTCATCTTTTGCAATTATATACAGATGTGATGATAGTGTAAATATATTTTTGTTCCTGCAAAGTTTTCAGATTATATAAGTATTGATAAACAAGAAAGCCAATGATTAGATCACAGAGCTGTGGAATGCTTGCTATGGCACACCAAAGCATTTTTTAATACATCAATGTTATTCCTGCAGGACCAAAGAACCATACAAAGAGACCTGTCTGTAGGCAGTGCTTCAGAAAATGTTGGCTCTGGACAGACTGAAAATTTCTGTAGGCAATGTCTTGAACACCACTGGGAAAGCTAACACAGCACATTGATTATTACAGAAGAACACTAAGTAGAAATACAACATTTCTTTGATAGAAACATATTGTCTCCATGCGTGCACTTCAGAAATGGTAGTTCACAGAGGAACAGTGAGAGTGGGCTAGAAGAGCAAGATGCAGACTGAAAACTCCAGCCTTCAACTTAGCATTGTGAAATTATAGATGGCTTGATCAGACTCTGATGAACATATATCTATTACATGGCTCTTTAACATGTCCTTGTTATGATTCAGAAGTTTAAAGAAGAGAAAATAGGGAATCAAGTACAATTTAGAACAGCAAAAGAACATGGTCAGGGCAAACCTCTCATTTGATACCTTCAAGCCAATAGGCAGGGTCTTTCTGGAGAGAGTTTGTAATTCTGTAACAACTCAGCAGTCCTTTTGCAGGAAGCAGTGGATACAAATAAGCAATGCGCACCATGCACAGAGCACAGCAGATGATCACAAAATTCATCTTGCACCTGCAAAATGTATCCATCAGCATCTAACATGCTCTAGGTCAAATATCATGTCTTCCGTATTTAGTCTCTCCACATTTGATTCCTAATCTATTAGCTTTCATAACTGTTAACTTTCAAAATAATCTCATCTTTTACACTCAGATTCTCTAGGAATTACTTTTTAAAATAAAATGAAGCAAATTCAGCTTTTACTCTTTGTTGTGCCCCTCCTAAAGACAAAAAAACAACTAGAGATTTTCACAGGCATTACTGAAACAACAAAGATAAAACAAAGTTCCAGCTCCATACCTTTGAAACACACGTAAGTCCCTTTCCTTCTGTGTGCATCAGATGTTGCTTCCTGCGAGTCCATTTCCCACAGGATTCTTTCAAATGACAGATTGATCTCTGGGCTATCCTTCAGGGACTGCATATGTGTGTATTAAGTAAAATAGGTTGGCTTTTTTTGGTTTTTGGCATTTTGTAAATACCTCATTTCAATTCCAGCTGTCTTTTGAAGAGTAGACATCTTGCTGATCCCCTAGCTATATTTGGTTCTGCTTATATGTATATTTTGTGTATATATATATATATATTCCCTTTGAGATCTGTAGGGCCGCCTCTGCTCTGCCTGTTCCATATCACAAATATGAACTAAGGTGTTAATGAAGATACATCTGTAGGGTCAGGTGCTGGCCTTTGTAATGGCTGTAGGCAGCTACTCCCCTGTCTGCCATTGTGTATTCTGAAATTATGATCTTTCAGAACATAAAAACCAATGTGATGTGTTAAATATTATCTTCCCTGTTGCACCTATCCACCAGACAGTGCAAACAGTCTGACTTCTATCAGAAATGGTGCTTCTTGGCAACAGAGAACATGCTTCTTGCTTATATTATGAACATGGTTGATCTGAGCTCTGTCACAGAATCATAGAATCTCAGGCTGGTTTGGGTTGGAAGGGACCTGAAATCTTATCTAGTTCCAATCCCCCTACCATGGGCAGGGACACCTTCCACTAGAGCAGGTTGCTGCAAGCCCCGTCTAACCTGGCCTTGAACACTGCCAGGGATGGGGCAGCCACAGCTTCTCTGTATAACCTGTTCCAGTCAGACAGCAAACATGGGATTCTTAAAGTCTTCATTTATGCCATTGGTTTTTGGGGGTGAAATATGAGTTTAGTCTGCCTTAACTGGAAGAGGAAAGTCATGCCATTTGTCATTACACCACCCACCCCACTGGGCTGCTGTTTTCCTTAGACTTCTTTTTGCTGTCATTGTAATTCTGGGAGCTTTCTTGCTGTATCATCACACGCTGGTTCCTACTCCAGCTCAGTGTCAGCCTCACTTATGTAACCTCAGCATGGTCAAGTCAGGTTTCTATATTCCCTTTGAGCAGTTCATTCCCACTTTTACTGTGCAAATCCTGTTAGCACTTGGGCTCAGGACTTTGTTGCACATTCATTTTGGCTTCTGCAATGCCTGTTTGACTTGCCATGGTTTGGAATAGTGCTTTCTTGTGTTTTGAGGAGGCTGTCCTTGCAAACCCATAGTCTGTCCTGAGTCCTTTGCCCTTCACTGCAGTATTAAGTTGGGCAGAATTTTCTAGGGAATGTGATCAGGATGTGGGTAAAACTGGCTGGGATGTGGAGTGGTAACAAAACAGATTAATGTTTGCTCCTTTGAAATGCTATATAATCACAAATACATAAATCTTACTAAAAGGAAACAGAAGAAAGGTTTTAATGTTACCCATGCAAGCTGAAATATTTCACTACCTGGGCCTCCTCAAGGGTGATGTTTACAACTCTAACTCCTACAAACTAGCCAGAAAGGATTATTCTACTTTTATAATATTATGGTCTGTATTCCTATTTATTCCTGATCTATATATTTTGATTATAAGAAGCACTTCTGAAATACCCTGAAAAGCACCATCCAGGCTGTTACCTCGGGTTTAGCTGGTGTAATCTAAGGTAAAAGGTAATGTACCCTGCAAGTGAACGGTATATTTTGTCAAACTTTTACATCATTACTTGCTGCTTTGTTCATATATTTCATTACACCATCCACCATAAATTAAAAAGACAAGAAGTTCAACTACACCCCTGTAACTCTGTA